TCTGTCATGGCAGCTTTGGCTATATAAAACCTCAGCAAAGCTCCCTGAGAGGAACATGCACTCACCTGCCATTAACACAACCAGCCACCGGATGTCTTCATTGCTCCATGCCAATAGCCATGGAAAAGCATTTCCCCAAGAGCAAAACATCAGGTCTCTTTACGTTAGCCATATACATAATGCATCCTGGAATGTAACAGCCCAGCTCACTCAAAAATCACATCTGCACTTCTGTAGGAAGCAACATGCAGTGGTACGGTACAGATGCTAGCATGAAGAACAGGCTTTTGTTCAGCACAGCACTATGACCTTTGTGTGTTCAATACATCATCACAATTTTTCTGTCAGCAAACTGGAGCACCAAATATTCCTTGCTCGTTCAAGCACCAACAGAACCGCAGTCTCCCAAGAACATTTTGCAGTTCCTACTCAAGAACAACAAAGCAGTAATGATCATCATGCTTGCTTGGTGATGCTTGCACCTTTCCCTCCTCTTCCTATCTGTGCACACAGCACCACAATCTCCACAGAGAAGCAGCACCTCCAGAGCTGATTCTCATCCATCTTTCCCTATTTGTAAAGAAGGCAAGACAACAAAGTTGATTTTGCTTATACGTATTCACATACACACATATAGACAGAAGGACAGATGTTATTTGCAGTACTGGCAACACGGCAGTAGGCAAAGGCCAGCTCTGAGCCAGACAGTATCTCTGAAACGCCCAGCGGTGAGATAGCAGCTGTCACTAGACCTTTGGAATGTACTTAATAGATGATGGAGGTCTCTCTATTTTTTTTCCTCTCCTAACGCTCCCTCAGTTCACATTGAAGTTTGCCAGTCCTTTTTCTTCTCCTCCTCCACTTTAGAATTACAGAATCACAGAATATCCCAAGTTGGAAATGACCTACAAGATCACTGAGTCCAACTCCCAGCTCTGCACAGCACCATCCTAACCCAGTGTCTGAGAGCAGTGACCAAACACTCTCTGAGCTCTGGCACTGGAGCCATGCCCACTGCCCTGGACAGCCCATTCCATGCCCACCACCCTTTGGGGCAGAATCTTTTCCTAATACTTATCCTGGTTCTCCCCTTTGAAGGTCATAATTCTGGATCACACTTCTCATGCAGCCACTTTTTCTCAGCATGGGAGCCATGCTGATCAAGACCCCCTAGAAATCCCCCACTGCACCTTTACTTCTATGTAAAACAGGAGAGGAAGTTTGTTATGGCTAGATGCCTCACCCTACCAACGCCTCCTCCATGGTAGCTCACATTTCTGGTCATAAATGCTGGGGTGGAGATTGCTCAAAACAGTTTGGCGGAGACAGCTACTACAGACTGCCTCCAGCACATTCTATTCCCAGCTTTATTGGTTTTGCTCTGCTGCACTTAAACATTATCTTCAAGCTTGTATCAGGCAGGTTTGCTGTGGACACACTTCTGTAGGAGGAGCTCAAGAGGTATAGCCCAAAAGCTTAAATAAAAGTAACGATTTTGGTAAAAACATTTTTGAGATTTCATGCGGCCTCAAGCTTAGTGTTATAAGTCATCTTCTCTTGCAATAAAATTCATATGCAAGTAACTGCATCCATGTTTAAATACTTTCATACAGCTGAGTCTGTGACTGATATGGCAGCAGGTCAGGGTCCTGCAGAGTAAACCAATAAAGTCTCAGTGATTTCAATTATCTTCAACCAACCTGATTTGTCCTGCAGCATTAAAAACAGAATCTACTTTTTTGCTGTCATTGTCCTCTTGGTATCCTAACTCCATTCACACAAATAACAACAAAAATTGATATCAGATTATTTCTGATAATTCCCATGCCATTTTAGGTTACCATGATTTTATTTTCTTTGTGCAAAAATCATTATGCAACTCTGGCACTTTTTTGCAGTGAGTGCTGTAATCACCTTTTTTACTTACAGTGAAGCAGCAAGCCTGGCACTAGCTAACAGATGCCCTGTCTCTATTCCTAAAGGAGCTCAGGCCTTGGAGACAACAGACACCATCCTCAGTGCACCTTCTGACAGAAATACCAAGAACCTTCTAAAATTTCTCTTCCAAAAAAGTGAGAAAAAGCCCAATGTTTCCAGTGACTGCTGTATGGTAACCTCTTGAAGGGTCATTGACATGTTATTCCATTAATTCCACTACCATGTTATATGTTGCTACATAGTTATCAAACAGTGAGCAAAAGTAACTTCAGTGTGATACAGTGTGATCCTGACCATCAACTGGAACTGTTCTTACTAGTAAAATGGAGAATACTGTATAGCTCCATTTTAGTTTCAGTATGTTTCTCGTTATTTATATTATTAGTTGCATGTAACACCTTTCTCTTTGCTTCCGGTATCCCACTGTCAGACTTTCAAACATTTTCTCCTGGTTTTCATTTCAGATTGAATGTCTCATGCATTTATTTATTTATTTTTTTAAACCACCCTAGAAAATAAACTAATAGTGATGTCCTTTGTTCTGGTTTGCAAAGAGTAAAGCTTATGAAAATTAGGTCAAGCTGTATCCTGTGCTCCCATGCATTATTCTTGAAATCTGTTAGCACCTTGTATCTCTTCTCTTAGCATTGCAGTGTTCACAAGTTCTCTAACCATGCATCCCTATGCCAATTACGCCAAATACATCACTTCAGATACGAGCAATGAATCCCAAGTATAAGCAAGTAACTCTTTTGGGAAGCTGGTTTAAAAAAATAAATAAATAAATAAAAAATTCACTCAGATTCACTTTTTTTTTTTTGGCTTATTTCCAGGCTGCATTTTAAAAGCTGAACAGGGACTAAAGCAGAACACATACACAGGAGTCTGTTATTCCACTGCAGCTCAGAGAATTTAGTGCCAGAGAGAGCAATGCAGTGTGCACAACGGGACAATAGCCCCTTATAGCAAGGTTTTGAAATTGAAGATGAAAAAGAAGGTGTTGTGCAATGCTCACAACTGTAATCCTTGTTCCAACAGGCATTGCTACAAATCCCTTCTCAATACCAGCACGAGAGCTATGCCCAGGTGCACTGCTGCATAGTTCTGCATCTGCATGTAGCTTGTCCATAAGCAGGGAGCTGGTTAACATGAGCACAGGTTTCGGCTGCACCCTATAGCCAGCAAAAGCCCATTCCTTCTGCTCCAAGACTCCTACAATCTTATAAGGCACAGCTTGTTCAGAAGCACTCAAAATAAGCAGATATTGCAAGAGACCTTACTCTAAGTATTTAATAGACAGGAAACTGAGGCACAGTGAGGCACAGAGCAAGTAAATAAGTGGACATAGAGAGATCTGTGGTGCAGTGTAAGTGGAGGTGCTTTTTTTCCTACTTACTACTATTATTTCTTTCAATACTACTGCTTTTCGTAAGCTGGTATTGCTTTCTCTATGCAAGTAAACATTCCATTTAGCAATTTGGTTTTGGGATGCAAGATGTGGTGGATAGATCCATATTTCTCAGAATCTTCCAGCAAGAGATGACATAAGGGACTTCATAGAGCTAGCACTGCTCAGGAAAGGCATAGCTGCTGCTCATGAACTTTGCCAGAAGAGCAAAGCAAGAAATCAACACTGCAAAAGTGAAATATGGTGGGTTTCAATAGGAGTCTGTGAAGTCATCCCTTACAAAGCAGAAAGGCTGTTCAGCTAAGCAGCAGGCTGTGGCCTGCATTACTTTCCCACTGTGGGTCACTGATCCAAACCTGACTCAGGTGACAGGGACAGAGCTGTGACCACATGGCAGCCATGGAGTAGCTCATGCTAACTGAGCTACAGCTGGCAGCCTAGAGTATAGCAGACAGGTACAAACACCCAGAAATCCTAGTCATGAACAGCAATTCCACCTTGCTGTGCATAATACTGGACTAAGACCGGGGTGCTTCTCCCAAGTCAGGGTGAAGGCACGCTGGGACAGAGGTGCACAGAAAAAGCTCCATGTTGTGGACCACATATAGAAATTTAAAAAGCTTTGATCATTGCAGGAAGAAAAGGATGAAATTTGTGGATTTTAACAAAATCAAATCAATGGGGCCCTCAAGTAGCAAAACTGCAGTAAGAGCTATCATGTAACTGTTGTTAGTATGGTTATCATTCAGCCTCTTAGCATTTTTCTTTATTCATGTTAACGGATGGTTTCTTATCACATTCTGTTGTAATTCTCTTTTATGAAAAGTAATTGTATTTCCACAAACGTCATGTCTATAGAGGAAGCATGCCAGAAAGCTATTAGAATAGCACTTGTCTCGCTGCTGTGCCAGATGCTGGATGCAGTGATTTTCTAAAGACCATGAGGTGTCTCATTTTGCTCAATGCCCTGTATCTGCAGGAAGGCACACACGAAGACATCAACACAGTCAGTTTATAAAGGTGTCAGTTCATAAGATCACCAAGTTTAGTTTGCTTCCACCTATGTTATAAGGCACCACTAGAACACTAGTATTAAAATAACAAACTACTATTTCCACAGCAGATGACTCAGACCTGTTGTAGTCATCTGAAAGTCAGGGCTGCACAAGTGTTAGAATACATTTTCCCACTATTGGATTCCTGAGGAACAAATCTGGAATTTTGCCTTGCCTTTTTCATTTTAATATTTTCACTATCTTTTAGCATCTACCACATTAGTAAGCTACCAAAAGTCATCTTAGGGTAAACTTTGGTATTCTTCATTAATACTCTATAAATCAGCCTCATTATAAATCAGGGAATGTTCATTAATCAATTCTCAAAAAATACTTTATTTAGCTAAGAGTGTCAAATCATTAAAGTAACAAAGAAAAATTAAAACCATGTGCTAGGAATGGGTTCATGACTGCATAGTTACATCAACAAGACTCATAACTACACAAACAATTGCTATATATCATATTAACTTTCATTAAATAAAATAAAACCATGATGAAAACCAATTGTACAATCCTGATAGAACACACATGTTATTGAATACACTTACGCAGGACTGCATGCTACACTCAGTCAGCTACAAACTTGGGTTGCATACCTAGAGCCGGGTTCAGAATTTCTCCTCTTTTCTTTCTATTCACAGCCACATTAAAAGATGTTGTCTGAAATCCCCACCTCTGGTAGTTGACCTGCAGACAAAGCAATATTATCCTTTTTTTAAGGCAAGCTATCTCGCAGAGTAACAAAAACAGAAGGCTAAAGATCAGAGATACCCAGACTTCTGTCCTTAGCTTATTACTATCTAACCATTTAATCTTTAATAAGCTGTTTAGAAAAAAACTATTTAAACCTCACCAAGACCAGATGACACAGTTAGTGTGAATAGATGCGTTCACTGATTGAGGACGTAGTCTCTTAACTCCGTACTACCTGGAATCAGCTGGGGTCTGGTTTTCTTAAAAGAAAGGCACCACTGTCTACATTTAAGAGAAGTCAGTAACAAAAAGCTATGCCAGTAATAAGATGTAAGTGAATCCTCCCAGAGAAGGAACAATGTAAACTAATGGAACAGTATATAATTTCCCTGCACAAAATAATGGTGCCAGTGAGAGCGTGATTTAGTTGGTGCCACTGCCTGTGTAAGTTCCTCCTGGACAACTGGAAACTGAAAAAGAAAAATAGTTGTCACGCAATAGACTTAAACAGATCTGACTCAGGATCTGGGGTAACAGAAGAACACAGTCACTTCTCTAGATGACTGAAAACCACATAAGCTTAAAATTCCAGCCTGGGACCATTTGTAGGTCAGTTTTTTGTTTTTGTTTTAAATGATAAATGTATTACAGTAGCTCTTAGAGGTGCTGAGTGATAGCATACTCCTAATGAATGAGACATCATAAGAAATAAATACAGCAAAACAAAGTTTATTGAGAAGGTCTACAGACAGCTGGCAATGAAAGCAGGCAAGACAGAGAGAGAGATCCATACAATGTTCATATATGCATGAAGAGACCAATTTACTCAGCCCTCCCTTATCACACACTTAAAGCAGTGAAAATAGATAGCTGGAAAGAAAGTACAGATACAGAGCCGTGTTAATAATTGTAACGCTGAATGCAAAGCAAAGTACAGCAATAATAGCAAAGCAGCACAATCCTATGCTGCAGCAAATGAGAACAAGCCCAAATGCACCAGACACAAGAAGACAAACCACTCACCTTCAGAAAGGCTCCAGTAGACAGAGATCTCCAGCAAGGTACCTTAGCCCCCACTGCCAACCTTTATATGAGATCTGGGAAGGGGTGGATACTGGCTCCAGCCCTTCCAGTCACTCAGGTACATTGCATGCACCTGAGTTCCCCTGGGTTGGCCCTGCCTTCCTACTATGTGCTCAATCACTGGTTCAGGCTGTGACTTAGCATTTCCACTACAGTAATAATAAAAACATACTTGTAATCTAGGTAACAAAGCCCAAAAAGAGATCCACTTATGGATCATCCTTTGGATGATAGCAAGCTGGGCTGTCATCACTGGCCACTGAGGCACGTGCAGCCTGTCCATGCAGCAGTGCAACTCTTTGCACCATTGTTCTTGCAAGAAAATCTGTTCAGGATTCATCCCTCTCAAAACTGCAAGGTACAGATCCACTGTACTGGAATACCTGAAGCCAACTCCATAAGAAAAAGCAAAACTCTGCCAAAATGCAAGGCACAGATTTACATGCATCGCCTGAGCCTATGCACTGGTTTTATGCACAAGGTTCCACATGCTAATGGTAATAAAATGGGTAGCTCTTTATTTTGTAAAGGAAAGTCTACACTGTGGAGCTTTAGACAAACATAATCTACAAACACTAAAGTGCTGCATTTCTCAAGGCTTTTATAAAAGACTCATTTACATTCAGATCTCTAGGAAAAATAAATGGAATGGAGGATAATTTAAGCCTTGTGATGGTGCTTTATCTCTGAACTTCAGAGCCTGATGCTTATTAATCAGTTGTGGCCTGTCAACATCAGAGTCAAAAACTCTTCTACCAGAAATTTCATTGGAGATAAGCACTAATTGCATCTATGGAATAATTCTGATTTGGAGTCCACAATTCAGGTTGTGCAAAAGCCTCTCTTGATCTGCAGAAAGATGGCCTATTCAGCACTGGTGAGAGTTTGAAAGCCCCTGGTGTGCAGGGAAAACAAATGCCTGTCTCTTACAGGCCTATTGCACATAGCACCCATTTGCTGATGAGCTGCATTGATTCTGTGAATTGTCCCATGAAATATGCCTTCAGAGCAGCAAAAAAAAAAGAAAAATCCACCCTGAAAGGGGACAACCACTGCAAAAGCTACAGAACTTCCTTTGTGTGAGAAGAGCACAACCTTGCTTCTTCCCTTTAAAATGAGGTTCTCAGCTGGAGGAAAACCATGGTTTTCACTAGATCTCGTGATCAATTTCCTTCTTAACCTGGCTATTCATCTGTATTCTGAAATTTCAGAGCCAAAGTTGCACCTTTAAATCACCTGGAACTTTACAGCCCATCAGGCAGACTATTACAGCAGCATACTGGATTATCAGAGCTACAGATGGGCGCTGTATGTAACTGCATGGCAGAGAAATCTTTCTGACAGTTTCAAGATACAAGATATAAGGAGCTGCTTCAAAATGCCTGTGGTTCAAAAATAATTAAGCTTTCTTTGGACTTCACCTCCCTGCATTGTTTTTTTTTTTCCACTTTTTTTTCTAAATTACCTAAACAGAGGTAGAAAAGGAAAGGGGGGAAATTCCACAGTAAAAGGAGGAAAAAGCTAAAAAATTATATCTCCAAGGGATGTTAAAAAGCAGTCCGTGCATATGCTGCCTACAAACACTTTGACCTTTCTAGCTGTCTCCACTTTCTCATTCACAGAACTGCCATCTGTGCAATTTTCTCCATGCACTTCAAGCACATACTGGGTCCATAGATGTTGAACTTGACTTTTCTTTTTTCCCCCAGTGGAAAATTGGATTTTTAATTAGAGGAAAATGTCTATTTTCCTTGAAAAAAGTAATTACATTTTTTCCCCTAGTCACAAAGCTCATTTGGGAAAGTTTTACTTGAATGTCTTTTTTTTTTTTTCTTTTTTCCTCAAAGTGTGTGGGGAGGAGAAATGTGTGAGGGCATTATTCTACATGTTTTGAATAAACAGCTCAATTTCCTGAAAAGGTTGAGATGAAGAGAGAAGTAAAATCTGAAAAATTAAATTGAATATTCAAGTATGTGTATATTTGGTGAACATTTCCCTCCCTGCGTAAGGGACAAGCCAGTCCTGCACTGTTCATGTCTGGCTGTTCCATCTGCCCCACACTCAGAGACCAATCCTGATGCTACCTCAGATCAGTTTTTGTTTCAGAGGTGGAATTCGTCACTTTGAATATATTGAGCGATGAAAACCACTCCACCCATTTCCAATAGTGAAAAGAAAACCTGAGGAAATCCCTATTCTTTCCTGATTGAGAAACTCCCATACTGTAAGATGTCTTTTGTGCGCTGTTGAGCTCATTCTGCTTCTCCCTGAGCTCAAAGGCAATTATCCAGGTGACTCAAACAGGACAATTTCTGCACTGTGTGTCTAGGCAGTATCTAATAGCGACCTTCATCAATTTTTTATTTATCCACATGACCCTTCCTAAAGATAGTCTGAATCACGGGCCAAATCTCCACTCCAAAACCAAAATCAGTATGTACGCAAGAATCCCAATTCAGTTCCACTATAGGAAATAGAAATAGACTTCAATAACAGAAAAAACAATCCTTCCAGTGCCTTCCTCCTATCAGGAGTGCATATTGATTGTTATATGTATGACAGACAGAAGTAAGTGTTCCAGACTGAACCTTTTAAACCTCAAAATCAGTCTGAACCTCTTACTTAAGGCTGGAATCCTACAACTACAATAACAGCAAAAAGGGCTTGTTTCTGAAAGCACAAAGTGAGCTGCACACAGGGAATGCTTCACCATAAGCCAGGACCAGTGAAGCTTTGCAAGCCACAAAGGCAATTTTCAGCTATCACTGTATTCTTGAGGGGAGCCTGTCCATTGGCAATCATTTGATGGTCTGAGGTACTGACCTTGAGTCCAGAACTCAGCTCTGTTCACAGATTAATTATATTTATGTTCAATATATAGTTCTACTAGTAGGCTTTTTAATTAATGTTCTTCTTACATTGCTCCTGAAACTTTGAGAATGTGTTCAACTACAGTTAATGAATGACTTTTGGGAAAGAGACACTGCAGATACAATCAGGTGTAAGAGGTGAGAAGAGAGCTTGTACTAAGAGGAAGAAAGACGGGGAATTCAAACAGTTCAGGACCTCAGCCAAACACTCATTGTATCCAGCATGCCGTAGATAAAACTTGTGCTAGGTTAGATGCACATCTGTGCACACTGCAAGGGGAAATGGGCAGAACTGATCTTCATACAGAGAAGAGAGAGGACAGGAAAAACGGGATTAATTGTGAGAAAATGTAAATGGAAAAGTCCTTGAGAGGCATTTGAGGGATGGAGTCATGATGGGAAGAAATAAAATGGCACAGTCCTGCAAGAAGATAAATACTGCAAGCAGCTTGGCTGGATTGGCTCGGGAGTAGGGAATTGGTACCCAGAGCCAGCCATCAGTATGGGTGAAAAAACGTTTCCTTCAGTACCTAGGCCCTTTTCTGGAGCAGTCTAACAAGCAGCACTGCTGGTGGAGCTGGAACTGCCCCAAACAGTGCTCTCTAAATCATTCAACCCACTTTGTGCTCTGCAGAGCTGAGAGCACAGGGCTGAGTTTACTTGCCAGCATCCCTACTCAAACTTCAGGGAGAAAGGAGACAGAATGGGCTCTTTTTCGCTATATGTCTACCAGTAGATATATTTAAATAATCTTTTGCTGTTAGCATGAGTATCAGTTCAAGAAAACCTACCCTGCCTTTGCAGCAATGTTTGTTCATCTCTCACCATTAAAAAGAGAGAATAATTCGATTGGAGAGAAAGCTTAAGTAAGGTTTAAAAACAGTCTAGGAGTGCTTAGGAAACATTCCTCTCCCACAGGAATGCCCACAGGAAACACTTTTATAGGAATAGCCATTGTCAGCATTTCACATTTCAACAACAAGAAAAAAAGTTTATATTAGCATTGAGGGGTGTGAAAGTCTTTCAATAAACTGCACCTAA